AAAAGTGGAAGAAATAAGAACAGCAGCTTGGAAATTAGCTGTTAATTTTCTTGCCACTGCACTCTAGCCACGGTGCAGAGCAGGACCCGGTTTATTTGAAGAACAACAACAACAAAAAAAAAAAACTAGAAGTTTTCAAACCCTACTCCACAAAGACTCTGTTTATTTAAATGAAGAGTAAGTAGTGACTATGAATGAAAGACAAGAATAGGATCGGAGAACCAAGTACACAGAACTTTTCAATCACTAATAGTTTGAAACATGTATTATTTTTACTAGGAATGTAGCAAAGCAAACAAAGCTTGTTGGTGAATGTGTACAGAAGAAGTTTTTTTAAAAAGTAAAAATTTATTTTATCTAAATTTTTTTTTAAATGTCCACTACCTTGAGATAAGCTAAATAAAGCACATGTTTAAGAATGATACAAAGCAACAGATAAATACAGATTCTAGATGTTACTCCTTCAGTTCCCAAAGGGACTCCATCGAAATTTAAAATTGTGATAAAAATCCCAGAAAAATGTTAAAATTAAAAATATAATGGCAATATTTTATTTCCAGAGTTAAAATTGTGCAAATAATCTTTCCTCAATTATTATTTTTGAAGACAATTTCTAGCTACATTTTAAATCAAACAGAAAACATGAACTGATAAAATTTTATTTTTTCCTACTAAGCTCAATAAAAAGGAATGCAGGATATTTTTTTAAAAACATGGAGAGGATTTTTAAAAATTTATCTGACAATAAATTTGGCCAGGCGTGGTGGCTCATGCCTGTAATCCTAGCACTCTGCTGAGAGATGGAGGCAGGAGGATTGCTTGAGGTCAGGAGGTCCAGCCCGCCTGAACTAGAGTGAGACCCCATCTCTACCAAAAGGAGAAAAAATTAGCCAGGTGTGTGGTGGCTCATGCCTACAGTCCCAGCTACTCGGGAAGCTGAAACAGGAGGATTGCCTGAACCCAAGAGTCTGAGGTTGCTGTGAGAGAGGCTGACACCACTGCACTCTATCTCGGGAGACAAAGCAAGACTTGAAAGGAGAGGAGGAGTGGAGAGGAGAGAGGAGGGGAGGAAGAAGGGAAGAAGAGAAGAGGAGGAGAGGAGGAGGAGAGGAAGGGAAGGGAATGAAGGGAGGGAGAGAGAGAGGGAGGAAGGAAGGGAGGGAGGATAGGAAGGAAAGAAAGAAAAGAGAAAAGAAAAAAGAAAAGAAAATTATCACCAGATAAAACATACTGAATATGTTTCAGTGGATTTCTCTAAAATACAATCAATATCTCAATTCTCAGAAATTAGTAAAGAATATAGTCTCATCTAGAGCAAGCAGGATCCAAATATAAAGGATCTACAAAGTATTCAAACTAAAAGACTGAAAGAAGTCACACTTAAGTCAGAACCTTTGCACTGGCAAACTAAAAAGAGGGAAGAAAAATAAGGTCACCTGAAAAATTTTGAAATGCAATAGTACATTTTACAATACAGTGACAAAAAAAAAACATCTAAGTGTAATTGGTTTTGAAGTTTAAATGTAAATATGAAATGTTAACAGTGAAGCCAAAAATATATTAAGACATTAGGAATTTTTGAAGAATATCACAGAGGGCTGGGCGCAGTGGCTGACGCCTGTAATCCTAGCACTCTAGGAGGCTGAGGTGGGAGGATTGTTTGAGGTCAGGAGTTCTACACCAACCTGAGCAAGAGGAAGACCCTGTCTCTACAAAAATTAGAAAAAATTAGCTGGGGGTGGTAACATGCCTGTAATCCCAGCTACTTGGGAGACTGAAGTAGGATAGGAGGATCCCTTGAGCCCAGGAGTTTGAGGTTGCCATGAGGTATGATGACGCCACTGCACTCTACCTGGGGCCACAGAACAAGACTGTCTCAAAAAAAGAAGAAGAAGAAAAAAAAAGAGCATAGGAAATTTAAATAGTTCTCTTTGGATTTAAGTGATTGTGGATATTCAATGTGTCTGTAGTTTACTTTGTTTAAACACAAAATATAGCATCTTCCTAGAGTTACTGTAAAAATAAGTACATGAGAAAGTGCTTTGAAAAATGTAAAAAACTAAAAACAGTTGCAAAGCACTATACAAAATAATAACCATTACTACAAATTAAGATTGTACAATGCTTTTAAAAGGGAGACTTTCGGCCAGGCGCGGTGGCTCACGCCTGTAATCCTAGCACTCTGGGAGGCCAAAGCGGGTGAATTGTTTGAGCTCAGGAGTTCGAAACCAGCCTGAGCAAGAGTGAGACCCTGTCTCTACTAAAAAAAATACAAAGAAATTAATTGGACAACTAAAAAATACATAGAAAAAATTAGCCGGGCATGGTGGCGCATGCCTGTAGTCCCAGCTACTCGGGAGGCTGAGGCAGGAGGATCACTTGAGCCCAGGAGTTTGAGGTTGCTGTGAGCTAGGCTAATGCCACAGCACTCTAGCCAGGGAAACAAAGTCAGACTCTGTCTCAAAAAAAATAAATAAAAAAAAATAACATTGAGCAAAAGAAGTAAAGTCTGCCGACATGTAGACTCACAAAAAGCATATTTTCTTGTATTGGAAACAAAAGTATCTCCAGATAAGAGAAGAAATTTTGAAAGTCTCATTAAATATAATCTAATCTGGCACTGAAAGTCTATACCATCTCATTTTTAAACTTTTAAAATTAACATGTATTCCTATCTGCCTGAGTTAGGTAGTACGGCCATACCATTATGAAGGGATAGAGTAATGGATGGATGATCTTTTTGTAACATTCATATCAGTTCTCTGACCATTATAAAAACTTATCCATTTCAGTCCTCCAATCAGTAAGACCTCTGACTAAGAAGAACCATAAAAAATTTACCTACATTATCGTCTTTCAAGTTTATTTTTCTACTTTGGCTACTAAATTTTAAACAAATTCCAATTATGTAATTTCCACTAAATCTATCCACACACAAACTGTATATACATATTTTATATAGTTTCTGAAAACTATACTGACAACTTTTTTTAATACACCACCTTGGTCCATGCTGACTTACCTGTTTCCTTAGAGCTCCTTACTACAAATGAATCAAGGTCTACTGACTTTGGTCTAAGTGGCAACTGTTCAGAATCTGGCTTTGGTTTTGATACTGGCTCAGTTTCAAATTTTGATGAAATGGTAGAAACATCCCCATTCATCCTGAAATGAGAAAAACATATGAATAAATCACTTGTATGTGAAATATGACTTTTTAAAATTGTGATTTAATAACATTAAAGATTTTATAGCATAATAATGATTACTTTCTGTTCTGTAAAACTATTTCCATAAATGTAAACCTCTACCCTAGACAGATCACAATAAAATCAAAATGTAAAAGCAATTTAATTAGCTAATATAAAATGTTAATTTATATTCATCTATTGTCAATATAAATTAACACTCAACAGAATCATTAAATTCAAGAGAAAATATGGAAAATACTTAAAAAATTAAACTGCAACAACAGAGGGACTGATTTGAAGGCAAGCAACAGTGCTAACTCAGTCAAAATGTTCAGACTGCTCCTGCATTTAAGTTTATTGGCAGTGTTTACAAAGGGAGCTGTAGGGTGGGAGGGCTGGAGCCAGAGGCTAAGTGAGCTGCCCCTCCTTGATTTCCTACAACATCTCGGTGATCAGCTGTTGCATGCACATGATGGGGAGAGACAGTACTGAGCCCTTTGACGGTCCTGGGTAGCTGAGGCCCACCGCACCCTGGGGCCATCACTCCAATGAGGAAATCTTCAGAGGGTTATCAACCAGGCCAACTTTATTCCAGAAAGCCAGCTTCCCAGCCATGACAGTAACAAACTCCACCACAGCCGTGCCTGCCTGCCTTCTTACTGGGAAGCACCAGTTTGAGAACCTCACTATACTTTTACAAAAGCCGAAAGACGTCATCTTTGAGTATCTGCCCTTTTACTCATCTTTCTTATACTTTTATTTTAACTTTAGTTTGGGGTTCCATTGCCTTCAGTATTTTCTGCCTTCCCTCTTAACCTCTGGTAAAGTTCCTGGCATATCTACTCCTGGATCAGCCTCTGCTGTTGTTCCTCCAGCTGCTGGGAACACTCTTCTAAGGTGTTCAATCTCTTGCTCTAGTGTTCTGATGCTCTGGCTCTCCCCCCTTCCTCCTCACTCACTTGGGCCTAGGCCTGCCACTCCCGGGCCTCCAGGTCAAGCTTCACTTTCTTCCTTCTCTCAAGTCTCTCAGTCCTTTCTGCTTCCTGCTTCTTGGCCTTCCTAATCTTGTCATATGCAGCTTTGGATACAGCATCAGAGTCAGTACTTCCAAGGCCTGAGAAAGCTAGTGGAAGAGTTCAGCTGCTCTGAGATTATCTAGATTTCTATCTGGGTAGCAGGTGAGGGCCTTCTGCCTATGCACCCTCTTCACCTCTTTTCCTACTACCTTCGCCTCAATGCCTAGCAGCATGGACAGGTCCATGCGTAAGAGTTCCCTGGTCACTGTCATGGTTTCGACACTGACTGGATTTGTACTAGAACTCCCAAGAGTCTCCACATGTGTGGGGACTGAGCAGGCAGAATGGTGCTGAGCCCCCTGAGAATTCACTCTTGCATTTTAATAATCAAAGCTCCAGGCCGGGCATGGTGGCTCACACCTGTTATCCTAGCATTCTGGGAGGACGGCCTGAGGTCAGGAGTTAGAGACCAGCCTGAGCAAGAGCGAGACCTTGTCTCTACCGAAAATAGAAAACCTAACTGGACGTGGTGGGGGGCACCTGTAATCCCAGCTATTCAGGAGGTTGAGGCAGGAGAATTGCTTGAGCTCAGGTTTGAGGTTGCTGTGAGCTAGGCTGACACCAAAGCACTCTGGCCCAGGTGACACAGCGAGACTCTGCCTTAAGAAAAAAAAAAGCTCCAATCAAATCACCAGAATCTGCCTGTGATCTTTGTGTATATATCCAGCTCTCAAACTTGTTTTCGATCTTTTGAGATGTTATTTATAACATTAAAATAAATTTTAACTTTTCAAAAAAAATTAAAAAGATAAAAGTATTGGTAAGCATGTGAAGAAAAGGGAATCCTTATACACAGGTGGTGATGTAAATTACTACGGTCATTATGGAAAACAGTATCGAAATTCCACAAAAAATTACAAATAGAAGTACTACATAATCTAGCAATTCCATTACTAGGTATATATCCAAAGAAAATGAAATCAGTATATGAAGAGATACCTGCACTCCCATATTTACTGTAGCACTATGCATAACAGCCAAGATATAGAAGCAACCTAAGTGTCAAGGGATGAATGAATGAATGAGGAAAACGTGGTATATAGACACAATGAAATACTATTCGGCCATAAAAAAGAAGGAAATCCTGCCATTTGTGACAATGTGAATGAATCTGGAGGACGTTACGTTAAATGAAATAAGCCAGGCACCGAAAGACAAATACCACATGATCTCACTCATAAATGAAATCTAAAAAGCTGATCTCATAGAAGCAGAGAGTAAAATGGTGGTCATTAGAGGCTGGGATGGCTAGGGGGTAGGTAGGGAGGAAAGTGGGATAATGTTGGTCAACGGATACATGAATACATATTTACAGTTAGATAAGAGAAGTTTAAGAAATCTATCATATGGTATGGTGACTATAGTTAATAACGGCATATTGTGTTCTTGAAAACTGCTAAAAGTGAATGTTAAGTGTTTTTGTCACAAAAATGATAACTATATTAGGTAACGCATTTGTTAAGTAGCTATATTTAAGCATTCCACAATGTATACATACTTCAAAACAACATGTATATGATCAGTACATACAATTTCATATGTCAATTTGAAAAATAAGAAAAAAAATTACTTCGAAATGTAGAAAAGCAATAAAGCCATTTAGGTCAAGGGAGGGTAAATCAATAAGCTAAATTAAAATTACGTAAAACTTACTTGGCCATAGGTGGCGGCGGAGGAACTGGTTTTTCAGGTCGCTTTGGGTACACTGTTCCAGGAGATTTCAATAAACTATTGGCTTTGGTGGGTGGAGTAGGCTTCTTGGGTGGGACTTGTGGAGCTGCTGGTTTAGAAGGTTTCTGTTCCAGTGCTGATTTTTCATCTGATGATTAAAAAATATTTAACAAGTTATTAAAAATCAAGATTATTTAGGTTTTTCAATTTATCAAAGTTAAAGCAG